ACCTTCATTTTCTTATCATGAGAATGTGACGAGTTAAGAGAGCTTTTTGTGTCAGTTTCCTCAACTGTAGAATAGAGATAAATAATAAAAATACCCACCTCAGCGCAGTATCATGAAGAATAAGTTACCTAATAAACATAAAACTCTTAGAAGAGTACCTGACCATCAAGTTTGATCACTATTAATCAAATAGTAATACTATTAATAAATAGTAATACTAACAGTAATACTAATAATAAATAGTAATACTCTTACTTCAGCTGAGCAGTGAAGAATTGATGCTTTTGAACTATGGTGTTGCAGAAGACTCTTGAGAGTCCCTTGGACTGCAAGGAGATCCAACCAGTCCATCCTAAAGGAAATCAGTCCTGAATATTCATTGGAAGGACTGATGTTGAAGCTGAATCTCCAATACTTTGGCCACCTGATGCAAAGAGCTGACTCATTGAAAAGACCCTGATGCTGGGAAAGATTGAAGGCGGGAGGAGAAGGGGACAACAGAGGATGAGATGGTTGGATGGCATCACCGACTCAATGGACATGAGTTTGAGTAAACTCCGGGAGCTGGTGATGGACAAGGGAGGCCTGGTGTGCTGCAGTCCGTCGGGTCGCAAAGAGTCGGACACAACTGAGCAATTGAATTGAACTGAACTGAAATACTATTACTATCTGAAATGATGGCCACTAGCCACATATGGCTGTTGAGCACCTGTAATGTGACTAAGGGAGTGATTTTTAAATTTATCTCAGTATGACTATTCTAAGTTTAAGCAGACACCTGTGGCTGGTGGCTACCCTGTGGGCAGCACCGCTACCGGGGATCTCAGCCCACAAGCTCCATAACGCCGTCCCCGCCTGCTCTCCAGCTCCTGGTCTGCACCTCTCCCTCACCCCAGAAATCAACACTCACAAGGCCCAACAGCAGGTTCACACCTCCAAGTCTGCGCCTGTGCTGGCCTCTTTCCTCTTTGCCTGAAATGCCCTTCCTCCCCATCCGCCCCCAAACGTCCTGAAGATCTTGTTCAAATTTCATTTCCTCAGGGCAACTCTCCCTAACTCCCTCCCACCTGACCTCATCCCACTGCGGACACAATGGAGCATCACCTCCTCTGTGTTTCTCTGCATCTGCTTCTGTCGCTCTGGTTATCCCAGACTCAGCACTTACTCTATGTGATACTAACAGAAAGATGGGAATCCTAAGGCCCAGTCTTTGTTCCAGTGATATGGGCCCATTCGCTAACACCTGTGCAGCAAACACTTGCTGAGTCCATTATTAATCTGTGAATGTGTACAAGGTTTTATTAACACAAACTTTAAAACATTGACTACCACTCCATAATTATTTAGGTCGAGTTCTCCTATAAGGCCTATTTTCAAATAATAAAAAAGTTCTTAGCATATCAGTTGAAGGTCTACTGATTTCAAGCTGTATCAACAAAACATTTCAGTACTAACCAAAGAATCTGAATCTTCCCTGGAACAAACTCCTTCCTGTGTTTGCTTCTTCTAACAGTTTGGAAGTCTCTAGGATTTCAGAAACTGATCCTGCCATTTATCTGTCCCCAGTGCTCACAGTGACTTACCGGGAAGACACAGATGAGATTGAAAAGAAAGAAAACGAGAGGACCTGATTATAGACACAGATGGGAATTCAAGGATGAGTGATCTTTGCTACATCTTCTACTCAAACCCTACCCTCAAGAAGGAAAAAATTAAAATTTTGTCTAACATGAAAAATAACAATTGTGGGTGATATGTGTCTATTCATTGACTGTATTGTGCTGCTCTTACTCCTTAGCAAAGCTTTTGCTCAAGAAATCTCCCTTGTTAAATTATGAAGACTCTGTTGCAATATTAAGCTGCCCTGAGAGTCACACTGGTCTATCCTATCACAATTTTTTTTCTATCACAATTTTCTGACTAATCCTTTATTTGGATTCCCACACAGTGTTCCAGCAATTAGAATAAGTTTTTGATGGATACATTTCTGGGAACCTAATTTGTATGAGTTACTTCCCAAGTACCAAATATCGGGTGGATGTATTTTACAAATGATTATCTTTCCTGCCCTCCAGGAACTTATGGTTCAATAAGACAAACAAATAAATACACAGTGATCAGAAACGTCTTCTTATGGGCACAGTCATGTCAGCAGGGCAAGAAACGGATTTCAGAAACCATATGAATCCAAAGGACTTTGTCTTCAAATCAGATATAGATTTGATTTTTTTTCCTTATTAATAATGTGGTATTATTGTAAAATGCACAAACAGCATTTTCTAATGTAATGAACATTGACTTAATAAATGATTGAGTTCTTTAGGACTCTAGGATAAATCTCTAATTTTCACATAATATTGACAGATTTTACATATTTTTTTTTCTGATTTCCCTTCCCCCCTGCCCAACACATATCTCCAGAATTTTAATCTAAGATGTTTCCCAAAACACCAAAGGTCTAAGATAGGTTTTGAGACTGCTAAGAAACACTGTGAGGTAAATATTTTTCTCTAAGATGTCTTAAACAAAAGATATCAATTTATTTTTTTATTTTTTAACTTCCTTCTAAAATCTGCACATCTGGGAAGAACATTCTGCATGCTACTAGAATTGCTTGTGAATTCTCCTAACATAAGATGCACTTATTTCCACAGGGTGTCCATCACCGCTGAGAAAAAGCAGATCTGGCTTTCAAAGATTATGTTTTGAGATTAAAAATGAAGATAGTGACCTTAAGTCTTTCAAGATTTGTAAGTCTGGCATGCTATCTATCTCAATAATACCTAACAAGAATGTTAAATGGACAGAAATGGCCATGGTAAGCAGGTGCTTGCAGCTGACAGTGATTGCTGTATTTTGGGTGATGGGAAACAGTGTTTCCATTAGTTCAAGTGAAATACAATGCCCTGCCAACTCAAGGTATCAGTGTATTCAATACCCCTGCTGTGCCCTGTCCATTTTCTGTTGCTTCAATTCAAAATCAGCCCATACAAAGTCAAAATGTTGTACATTCTTCCCCTATCCCTTTCCCTGTCGCTGTGTTTCCAGCTTCACCGGAAGAACATGTCACTATGGTAACCAATCCCTCTGGTGCACAGACCAAGTCAACCTTTCTAGTCCGATTGCCAAGCAGAGCAACATGGAATCAAAGCTCTCACTGGAACTACCAGAAGTCATGAATTCCAGTCCCCTTTTTCTCGGTGGGGTTAACCAAATTTAGGCAGAAGGATAACAGTCTTGTTCCACAAGATGTTCAAGAAAGGAAATTCAAGAATGTCCTTCAGCAAGTCCTACCAGTGTTTATCAGTTGTTAGTAACATGAATCCTTCCTCACAGTTCAGCTAACTTCCTATCATTCCAATTTTAATGAAAGCAGAAAATGACACATAAAGTAACATTTTCCTGAATCTGAGAATATGAAAACTGTTACAAAGTCAGCCATTGTCAAAATCTATTTTGCTTCCTCTTCTTTCCCAAACCCAAGATTCTCTCTTCTGCAAATCTCTAATATCCTGTACAGTTTGACAAAGTTGTAGAGCTCCAAGCAGGTCACCCTACTTTACTGAGTCTAACCATGAAGCAGATGTGATGCTTGTAATAGTAACACATTCTTAACAAAATCATCTAAAATCCCTAGTAATTCTACAGAAGATGCAGAAAAAATACTAAGATGGGTTCTCTTTCTGAACCTACCCACCTAAATCTGAGTGGCCACCCAAACTATACCCACTGTTTGTGTTTCTTAAACAACTGACTTTTTTTTTCAAATTAACAATTTTTTCCTGATCCACTTCAACATTTTAACAAATCAAAGAGCATCAGTTGTCATACACAAGATTTTAAAATAGCAGCAACCCTGCACTGTAATTATTGCATTAGGAAAAACTACCTCTTATGGTAGCCACAAAGACTTTCAGACAACAACGTTGTTTTCACCTTGGTATTACCATTTAACAGATGAAGAAAATGAAGGGGGTGGGAGGAACTCATGAAATTGCACCACAACTTCCAGGGTGCAGCTATCATCAATGCATATTCCAGCATGCATATTCCCTTCTTCAAAGCAATATTAATATACACACAAACAATATTTCAGTAGGCTAATGGAACAGGATGCTCCCCAAAGTATAAATCATGCAAGATCTACAAACTGCATCAGATGAGCAGACTTTTAAAAATGTTTGTGATCATATTAAAGAATCAAGTAAATTTTTATCATTAGCAAATGCAGTTTGTTTTCTGCTTTCGTATACTCTGGATATTTTTTCTACAAATCTTCTGAAACTAGCATTTTTTCTCTTAAGTACCCACTCTGGTGTTACTGGGGGAAAAAAACTACTTTCCTGTGCTTATTAGATCCTGCTAATATCCAGTGTGCAGAAGACATTTTTGTCAACCACTCAAAAAGACAAATCAACAACTGTGGTGAGCTGCTACAGGTCAACAGGCTTTGGGCTGAAACAGGGCCGGGGCTCTGATTTATTAATGTTTCTATGACTAGTGCCTGCATTATGCCGGGCAGGGTATAGCACTTCAACATTTCTGGCATGAATAAGGCCTTCCCTGTGAGATGTTTCCCCAGTTGCCTTTGATGAATCAGTTCAACACGTAAAACAAAGATTAAAACTAGGAGTCTGTCTACCCCGACATTACACTCTTAAAGGGTTTCATTCCTCTGTCAACCGCACAAGATTACAGATTCCCTTCCTTTTCAGAGACTACTGAAGCATCTTCCTGGGTAAAACCCCTGGACCATGAGATTCTATCGGAATCCCGTCAGACAAACGCAAGACCAGAGGCTGAGTAGGGAGAGGTAAGCCTCATTACGAGCTGTTGGGAGACAAGATGTGGGCACTTCAGGGCTCAGCCGAGCCTGGATAACCTGACCTCCTGGTACCAAGAGATCTGAGAGGCTGCGACCGGGCGAAGGCAGGCGAGGGCAGCCGGGCCTAGAGGCGCGCGGCTCTCTGCAGCGCCACGCCTCGCCTCCAAGCGCTTACCTTTCCGAATCAGGGCCGCGATCTCGGGGTCGAAGCCTTGTCGGTGGCACTTCCTCCAGAGGCCCATGTTGGTGGAGTTGTACTGCCGGCTGCACTCGTCGGCGGGGCTCATGGCGAAGAGCTGCCGGCGATTCCGGGCCCGGAGGAGCTTGCCCTCCCAGCGGTCCAGGCGCGAGCGGCTGGCCCGGAGTGGCAAGTTGTTGTTGTTGTTGTAAATGAAGCCGGGGTCGATCCGGCGAGTGTTGAAGGCCTTGCATCTGTCCCTGTGCTTCCTGGCGTCCGTCTCGTACCAGTGATCTGAGCAGATGGCCACGGCCAGCATGCCGAGGGCGCAGAGCGCTAGCGAGAGGCCGGTGTAGAGCAGTAACCTTCCGGCAGCCATGCCTCCGCTTCGCGGCTACACCTTGGGCATGATCCGCCGCAGCCTCGCCTTCCCTCCGCGCGCCCGGAACAAAGCTGCGGACGGCCGAGCCGAGGAGGGGACGGCAAGGGGACTCCGCAGCGGCGCCCCTCGGCCCCTGCCTGCTGGTGCGCAGCCCAGGGACTGCAGGGGATGGGGGCGGGAAGCGTAAAAAGTTCTGATCGGGAGAGGCTCCGGCGATCCCCTGGGCGTCCTCCCGAGCAGGCGCAGCCTCGGGCGGCGGCACGCCCGGCCAGGCCGCCTCCCGCCCCCTCCCTGCCCGGCAAGAAGCGGCTGCTCGGACCCTACCGCGTCCGCAGCACTCAGCCGGGTTTCGGGCGACGCTGTCCTCGGGCCGGAAACTAAACACTAAGTGCCCTCCGCTGCGGTGGGACTCCTGAGCTTTCTTTGTGCAGGGTGGCGGGACCCACTCGCTTGGCTTTCTTGGGGGAGGGGGACTATCAGGAGGAGATGCTAGGCGACGGGATAAATTGAATCACCCCGGATGCGGCCGGCCAGCGCAGGAAACCTCCAGATGCCAGGGTAGGCTGCCCTGAGTCCCGCCTGGGTCGCCCTCTCAGCGACTCTACCCTTCCTGGTCTGCAGGAGAAGAAATATTCTTCTCTGGATCGGGTCTTTTACCAAAAAAAAATTTTTTTAATTATCTGTCCTCTGGTCACCAGCAGGTCCTTTGCTCCTTCTGGCCAGTGCGCAGCGCTCAGAGGCGGGTTCCCAGTCGGTGCACGGTCTCGGCCGACCTTTCCCCGCGAGCTCCCGGGTCGTCTGCCTCTTGCTTCGCCATTCAGGCGGCCCCTCGGGCCGACGGTGCGGTCACCCAGACGGCGTTACCGGACGAGCCTTGGTACGGGCTTTGCGGAGACTGGGCTGCAGCCCGCGGGCACGAGAGGCTGGCTGCGCCGAGGAGGGTGCACCCGGCGGGGCGCACAGCGCGGGGTGCGCGGAGCTCGACACACGGCGCCTTCAACACCATGGACAGGTCGCGCGATCGCGGCGCCCGGCCCGCCCAGCAGCCAGCCTCCAGGGCGTCATGCCGCCCCCACCACTGCCGTCTTCTTCCCAAAGTGTCCACCCGGCCACCTTCAAACCCGCCTCTCCCGCGACGCCTCCGCCTCACTTCATCGGGCTCCCGTGTAGCCCCGGGAACGTGCTGCCCGGGTGCTGCAGGTACCCAGAAAAACCACGGCTCCGGCCCTTCGACGCAATCCGCCCCCTTCTCCCGCCACCTGAGCCCCGGCACTCCAGCACTCCGTCTGCTCAGTCCAGCTGGGGTCAGCGGCTCTCAGACTGCACCATTTTCTTCGCAGCCCACCCAGGGGTTGAGATGCCGGCTCACTCGGCAGCGCGCAGAGAGTCGCGTCCGGCCTCGGCGTTCCACGATCCGGCTCCAGGCGCGGTGGTCGCCGAGGTGAATGGGGCGAGGGTGGGGGAGGGAGGCTGGGACTCTCAGCTCCCCGTCCCTGCCTCCTCCTCTAGCCGCGGCGGCTCCGGGACCTCGCGGTCTCGGCCGGTGCCAGTGAGCGAGAGCCCAGGCTGCGCCGGGGAGGCTCGGGAAATCGCATCGCCCGGCTGCGGGGCGCTGGAGGAAGCCACGGCTTTGCTCGCTTGCTCGGGCGCCGGGCGCTGCAGCCTTGGCTGAAACCCACAGACGAGAACACGGAGCGCGCAGCCAAAAGCTAGTGATGTCATCCGTGCAACGTGAGCCTCATCTCTTATTTTTCTAGCATCCTTAAAGATAAAGTGCACCATTTCCCAGGCACAGGATGTCTAAGCCTTATTCTGTGACCAGGCAAGTCAATGGTGTCTGGCTAGGTATGTGCACAACCACATCCATATTTATGCACATATACATATATGTGATATGTAGCATGTTTACGGGCGTTAGTATAAATGTAAGGATGTTGCCTCCGTCTCCGTTTATCTCTTTTCAGTAGTACAAAATTCCCTTAAATAGACCAGAGTTCTTGCAAGAAAAGACTGCTTATTGTGGAGTGGGCCTTCAGAGGTACTGAGGAAGTTCCCCTGTGTCCCCGGATTCGGTCGCCTATGTCCTGGATTGTATTTGATCTTTGTTTTCCCCCAGAAAGCCGCAGGCGCTGCCCTAACCCGCTACAGGCGTTTCCACCCGGGGCCGAGTGCGTCCGCGCGGTTGTCGGCACCAGCCCCGGTCCAGCCCCACGACAGCGCTAGACACTCCGACACACACCCACCTCCACCTCCCTCCTCAGCGGGAAGAGAAAATTAACTGATGCTTTCTAGACAAGAGGGACAGAATTTTCTGGGGGCGGGAGCCGGAGGGTGCTTAATGTATTTTGGAAAGGCCTGGAGGGCTCACGCTTTGAGGTGGGGAAGTGGGGTTAAATGACACCTCGGTTTGGGGTTTGTCTTTATCCGGGTGGCGGCTGGATTTAGGCTCTCCGAGGACTCTAGGAGGTGGCGCGGAGAGACCCCAGACCTTAAGCGAGGGGGCCCCAAACGAGCCAGCTTCATCCTCCCAACACAAACCGCCCAGCTCACGTGAGACGCCGCCGCAGGGCTGGGTGCCTCCCTCCCAGGTCGAAACCTTAGGTTCTCCGCTCTAAGGCTCACCCCTCATTTTCACTCTCATTCCAAAGCCGAAGGCCCGCAGTGCCAAGTGAAGGGCTGCCCTGGGGAAACAGAGGGTCTGGCACCCTGCTTTGCACAACTGGGCCGGCGAGCCAAAATGAGCGCACCTCCACCATATTCTTTTTGTCTTTTTTTCCTAGGTTCCTGCATTCTGAATATCTCGAACGAGGCGTTTCAGTGCCATCTAGTGGGGGAGGGGCGCGCCTAGCTTTTGGTCCCTGATGCTGCAATGGGACTTGCCGAAGCGCCCGCAGAGCCCGAGGATGTCTGCTCAGGTCCTTGGGTGTCCCGCTGCCTGCGGGCTGCAACATGCCCCCGCCCCCAGCCCGCTCCGGCCACATCCCGGCCCCGGGCTCCCTGGGACGATGCGGGGGGAGCTAGGCCGACTTTGGCCACAATGTCTTCTCACCTTTCTCTCCACCCTCCACTTACCTGCTCTCCCTCTCTCAACCGTGAAAAAACGGAAACAAGTGTAGACACTTCCTACCCAGGCAGACAATGTCTTAAATTTCTGGACCTCTTTTCTCTGGTAAAGCTCAGAGTACTTTTAGGTTAGCAGTATGCCTGCCCTTGACAACAAGGAAGAGGCAGCAAGATGAAATGACATCCACAAGGTCACTCAAGAACTTGGGGCACGCCAGCGGTAGAGCCTCAGTCTCTACTGAGTCTGGTACCCACCTCACCTGCCCCCTGAGAACCAGCTCAAAGAGGAGCCCCGAGACCTCTGCAAGCCCAGGCAGCTGCTTTCTGTAGTAAATGTACCTGTCCACTGTGTCCTATCCTTCCTCCCTCTGCCATTATTCACTCCTCTCTTACTCTTGCTTTTTAACTTCTTCTCCTGACCTGTGCCTTAGGCCTGCTTCCAGTGACATGCCATGCCCCTCCCAGTGGTCCTCAATGGGACTGCGATGATGAACTGTGTCATCTTTTCTGACCACCATTAAAATTGTATTTTGAAACATCTGTCCTTCATCACATCCCAGAAACCCTATAAAAGATACTGATTTGAGGCCTCTTTTTTTTTCCATTTATTTTTATTAGTTGGAGGCTAATTACTTTACAACATTGCAGTGGTTTTGGTCATACATTGAAATGAATTAGCCATGGATTTACATGTATTCCCCATCCCGGTCCCCCCTCCCACCTCCCTCTCCACCCGATCCCTCTGGGTCTTCCCAGTGCATCAGGCCCGAGCACTTGTCTCATGCATCCAACCTGGGCTGGTGATCTGTTTCACCCTAGATAATATACATGTTTCGATGCTGTTCTCTTGAAACATCCCACCCTTGCCTTGTCCCACAGAGTCCACAAGTCTGTTCTATACATCTGAGTCTCTTTTTCTGTTTTGTTGAGGCCTCTTTTAAAGTGGCCTTGGATACTTGCTCGTGCACAACTCTAAACAATTTGAGGATGATCCTGGTCCTTGCAGTTAAAAAAGACAGTGAATTCTTCCTCTAGACTATATGACTGTATGATTTTCTTTTCTTAAGTGATCTACATGTCTTCCCACTGTCTTCTTCCAGTTCCTTCCACCCCATTAGGTACAGCTTCAAGGTCTCTGTATTTCCAACCTAATCCTTCCCATTTGCACCTATGCTGGTCTAGAATCAGAGAAGCTCAAAATTGGAAGGGACTTTGGGCTTTGGGGCTTCCCTGATAGCTCAGTTGATAAAGAATCTGCCTACAATGCAGGAGACCCTGGTTCGATTCCTGGGTCAGGAAGATCCGCTGGAGAAGGGATAGGCTACCCACTCCAGTGTTCTTGGGCTTCCCTTGGGGCTCAACTGGTAAAGAATCTGCCTGCAATGCGGGAGACCTGAGTTCGATCCCAGAATTGGGAAGATCCCCTGGAGAAGGGAAAGGCTCCCCACTCCAGTATTCTGGCCTGGAGACTTCCATGGACTGCGTAGTCCATGGGGTCGCAAAGAGTAGGACACGACTGAGCGACTTTCACTTCCTTTGGGCTTCCCCAATGGTTGAGACAGTAAAGAATCTGCCTGCAATGCAAGAGACCCGGGTTCAACCCCTGGGTCAGGAAGATCTCCTGAAGAAGGGAATAAATGGCTACCCACTCCAGTATTCTTACCTGGAAAATCCCATGCACAGAGGAGCCTGCTGGGCTACAGTCCATGGGGTTGTAGAGTCAGACCCAACTAAGCTTAGAGTTATCCACACAATAACACATGAATCTCTTCTAGAACATTCCCCAAAAAGTGACTAACCAGCTTCTGCTAGCACACTTGCAGTGATGGGGAAATCACTGGCTTGGAAAGCACTCTGTTCCACTGCTGGATGGTATGCGTGGCTGAACAGGTCTTCCTTATACTAAGGGTCATCCTAGGTCCCTGGAATCCTAC